AGAAATCTTCCCGAAACTTCTTGAAAACCTTCCCCGAATGGTTTCGGGAAGCTTCTCGGAGGGTGCGAGGGATTGGGGTCGCCCTGGGGGGGAAGCCAGTGCCTGGCGAACCACGGGCTGTCTGACTTTGCGCGCAAAGCACGGGTCGGCATGCAGGGGCAGGCTACCAGTCAGGCAGGGCCTGAAGGTCCGGAGGCGGCGCCAGGGTGTGGAGACCCAGTCTGCACGGGGGGGCTTGCCGAGGCCAGCCAGGACGACTCTCAAGTCGGGCCTGTCCCTCTGCGGGACTGGGAAATGACCATAGCCACTGCTTCTTGTTTGCGCCGCCTTCCAGCCGGCCGAAAAAGAAACAGTGGTTGTGGTCATTTCCTTGGTGCCAAGCTCAACGAAAATGACCACAACCACTGCTTTGTTTCTGCGGGGGCTGGAAGGCGGCAATAAAAGAAAAGCAGTGGCTGTGGTCGTTTGCACGCCCCGTACCCTCTACAGTACGACCTAAGACTACTCGGGGGTGCCGTTGAGGCCAGCCGGGGTTGCCTGGAGGGGGCTGTCTTACCGCAAGTCGAACACGCCCCTCTACAGGAGGAAGATCCCCAAATAGTCCAGCAACAGTCTGGGGACGATTTTTCGAGCATTTTTGTTCGATCATTTGTGATTATGTTTTGGCGACTTTTACTTGTCGTCCGAAATCCCCTCTGTGGGAGGACATGCCCGACCGAAGTCTTGCCTGCGCGCAGCCCGAGGCCTCACCTTCCCAGGCGGGGGGACGCGTGGAGCCGTGGCCCGCCGCCCGAGATCCTTTCGGTCCAGCAGCCGCTTCGACCAATTATCCCTAATCAAGGGCATGAAAAACGCCCCTACCTTGGTTTACGAGGCGCTGTGCGCTGAGACTCCTGTGGGCTGACAGGGTACACCTTGCGTGATGTGCCGCGTCCTGGCGGCTCTGGGCTTTTGGGGCTCCCAGGAGGTTTACAGACCACGCACTTGTAAACCAGGGTAGGGTCGTTTTTTTTCATCCCTCAACCTAAGGGTTTCGCCCCCTGCCGCCGCCGCCCCCCCCTCGCTGTGATTCTGCAGGCAAGCATGTCTTCGGGGCGCGACCAGTGAGTGGCTTACCAGGACGCGGCCTCGAGGGCGCGAACGCAGCGCGGTTAAAAACAACGATCGTGGCCTCGAGGGCGCGAACACTGTTGATTTAAAGAGGGATGGTGGCCTCGGTGACTCAAATGTTATATCTTTACCATGGCTTATGGCCTCCAGGACACAACATATTGTGCAAGCTAGGATGGAGTCTGGCCTCGAGGACACACATACCGTATAACTTACAAGGGAGCATGGCCTCGGGCACGCGGACGTCGGGTAATTTTGCGGCAGATCGTGGCCTCGGTGGCGCACATGCTGTATTGTTTCTGAGCGTGGTATGGCCTCGAGGATGCGAACATTGCATCCGCGACGATGGGATTGGAGCTCCGAGGGCGCACATGCGGCGTAGCCCACGCGGGATCGCGGCCTCGGGGCCTCGAAGCAGCAAGGAGCCTCCGGCGGGGCGGGGCCTCGCGGACGCGAGCACCTCCCGCTTTGCAAGGGGGGGCCGTGGCCTTGGGGGCGCGAGCGTCGGTGAAGTGTGCGAGGACCGGGGCCTCGGTGCCGCGACCGTGGCTGCACGTGTGGACGCCTACGGCCTCGAGGACGCGAAACACGTGCATCTGTTGCGATGGGGTGATGGCTCCTCCTCCTCCTCCTCCTCCTCCTCCTCCTCCTCCTCCTCCTCCTCCTCCTCCTCCTCCTCTCCTACCCTCCTCCCTCCTCCCTCCTCCTCCTCCTCCTCCTCCTCCTCCTCCTCCTCCTCCTCCTCCTGCCCCTCTTGTTGGCAGCGCAGCACTGTTCGAGGGGTCGTGGCCTCGGGGGCGCGACCACGGACAATTTCTGGGGACCGTGGCCTCGGGGGACGCGCCAAGGCTGCCGCACTCGCGAGGGGCCGCGGCTTCGGGAACGCGAAGGTCTTGCGCAACCTACAGCAGGGCACACGTGGCCTCGGAGATTCTTTTTTGGGTCGGCGGCTCCAAGGCAACGGTCAGGGAGCGGAAGCAGCGTCCGGGATGCGGCACGGTGCGAATTTGCGAACACGGCCGCCAATGTCGGCAAGCCAGTTCGCACCTGCAAAGCAAGTTCGCAGCTGCACATGCACAGAACAAAATGAACTAAATTCACACGCAACGCACATAGGCGCAGCAGCGTGAACCGAAGTAAACGAGCTGCAGGGAGAGTGTGCGAAGACAGCGGAGTGAGTCGCCGGTTGGTGGCCTCGGAGAGGCGAAGCTCACGAATTGTTACACATGGTTCATTTCTAATTATTCGAAAGATCTTTGATTTTTTGGGGGGCCAAGATCCTTTCATTTCTAGTTGTTCTATCCTGGGCCTCTTCCTGGCCACACTAGGGGGCCAGGAACACTTAGAAACGAGCGCAAGTAGAAATGAGCACGATTAGACATGAACGACGTGTACGTGTCCCAGGCCCCCCGAGAGCTGTGGAGAACCCCAGGGGGAGCGTGGCAACTCGGGCCGCTCTGGGGTCCCCCCCCCTCGCGCGGACTTCAAGAGTTCACAGCAGGAAGTGACATGTAGGACTACAACTCTGGGTGCTTGAAGCTGGATCTGGAGCAGGGAGCAGGAAACCTAACCCCCGCAGCCTGACGGCCCCCACAAGGGGGCCGGCAGATTGTAGAATCGCGCTCTCACTTCAACCCCGGCTGCATGTTTGGTTCGGACGGCCACGATCCCTTGCCGACAAACTCTTAGGTGCACAAGGCCGTACTCTCACTCTTGTGCCCATTGTATCGTAGACCCCTGGCCGACACTCCACTCCTTGACCCGCTCCTTCTCTTTTGCTACTACTACTACTACTACTACTACTACTACTACTACTACTACTACTACTACTACTACGCTACTACTACTATAACTACGACTACTACTACTACTACTACTACTACTACTACTACTACGACGACTACGACTACGACTACGACTACGACTACGACTACGACTACGACTACGACTACGACTACTACTACTACTACTACTACTA